AAAAAAATTCACCCCCCTCACAGTTGTCATGAAGGGCAAAATTAGCTATATAGACCAAAATCATTTTTTTAACCAGGCTGTAAACATGTTTTTTTCTGCTGTAAAGTTGGGCATTTTAACATGGCGGTTCTATGGGATCGCCTCCCTTTTGCAGCCAGCCTCTAGCGGCCAGTTGGCGAATTACAGTTTAAGTCACTTCCGTGTTGGCTTCACGAGAGAGAGCGGAAGTTTGCCGCTCGGTTTGGACCAGGCTCGGTTGCAGAATCACATCCCTCTGTGCCTCTGAAATTATTATCTTTTTCTATATATAGTGTAGTAGTTAGCTATCTCTGTGTCATACACCGCTTTTCAAGCATGAAAAATAAGTTTCTTTTAAATACTGAATATATTATCGTATACAGCATGCAAAGAGCGCTCCCTTTAAATGTATTAAAAACTGTCACTCATTCATCACGATCTCACAAAGTTCCGTTTTAACCAATGAATGTGACCACACAATGAAACTTTTTTTTCATGAAGTTATGAGCATGATAGAACTCGGCACTGGACAAAAAGCGGTGAGTGCGTGGATTCCAACCTAAACACCTCTGATTGGCCATTGCGTTTTAGAAATCAACAAACATGTCTGTGATTGGCTACGTTGCTCACCTCTGCGAAAATGCATTGTAAAATCATTTGAGGGCAGATACACTGGATTGCTTACCAAATCTATTTTGTTATGCTATTATTACAAAGAAAACAGATCCTAGACCAGGAGTTATGGGCAGCTTTTCCATCTAAAAGCAATCAATTAGACTATTTTACACTATGAGTTAGACTATTATACACGCTAAACTAAAGTCCGACCATCCCCCTTGGTCCGGAGAGGGGGCACGGGGATGTTTGTGGGGGGACAAATCCCCCCCGGCCCCCCCTCTGGCGCCGGGCCTGGGGAGAGGTCTCATATTACGTTCGTCACGATCGCGGATGGCAACATGAACCGCAGGGTACGATTAAATTAATTTACATTTAACCAGTTTAATATAAAGCGACAGGGAAATGTAGACCTTCGTTTATGTGTTTTTGCCCTACACTGCACAAGACGCGAGAACAGTCCGCTATATTTAGGTTTGTACATTAGCATGACTCAACAACTTCAACATTAGCTACTTTTAGCCAGAGATACCTTGATGAACCACAAGATGACATTAACGTGTTCAGCTTGAGCAGATGAAATTTGTAACTTGATGAGAGTATGACAACCAGAAAAGGAACGTTTTTGTCTTCATTGGGATTGGG